CGAGGCGCCGGGGCGGGCTGGGTAGTGAGACGATAGGAGTGTGGAGTGGGCGTGCGGCGGGCGGTGGGGGGGGCGGGGGGGGGGGGGGGGGGGGGGGGGGCTGAGCCCCCCAGCCCACCCCTGGCTCCGCCACTATTTCCATTCTATGAGCATATATTTAACTTTGACAGGCAACGACTAATCCTGTTTTTGTTCTCTGTTCACATCAGATTATATAATTCGAAATAAATTTTATGAACAGTTTTAAGAGATCATATAGAAATAGAGTTTTCTCACATTCGTTCGAATTTTGTTTTTAATCAATTTTCAACAAATAAACTATGAATTTTCTAATTATTGTAATAAATGAATCTAATGAGATTTCAAATATTTTTTTTTTCATATTGACTCTAAAAACATTTATTATTTTCTTGATAACAGCAAATTTTATTTGTTCACATCATTTTTACATAGGAAATTTTCCCAACATCACATTCTTCTTTCATCATTAAAATAAAATTGTTCATTTTCTTCATGTTGAATTCTGTTTCTCAATGTTTGTAATGTATTAGCATAATTTGATGATGAACGTTGACGTTTGAATGGCGTTATTGTTGGTGATTCTAGTGAACGTTTTTCTGATTGACATGATAGGATTCCTATTATTTTTTCTTTTATCATTTGAACATAATGAATACGATAATTTTTAGCGAGAGATACTATTGTAGGATGACGTGAACGAGAAGATGGAGTAGCAGATGGATTATTTGAATGTGTTGCTGAATCACTAGAATGAGAAAAAGATTTTTATTTGTATTAAGACTGATTTATTTAAATGCGTACGTTAGATCTAGTGTTTGACTATTGATTTCTTCTAGTGTGATTTCTTCTTCATCTTCATCTTCTGATTGACTTATTCTAGATGTTTGATCGTCATCACTTGAATCAATAATAAATGATAGATCATCACTATCATCTATTTGAAATAAATATAAAATAAATAAAATTTAAAAAAAGAAAACTAATATCTAACCATCACTATTATCGTCGTCATCATCATCATCATTATGACTACTTCCAAGTTCTCGTTGGAGAAGTGAATCAAAAAAAGCAAGCATACGTTTATCTTCATCATATCGTTCAATAGATGAATCATGATGTACAGAACCTTAATAATTAGCATGATGACATTATTCTATACTATACTAAAATTTCTTACCTGATTCTAATACAGCTCGTAAATAATCTCGATGTGAATACATTTCTTGACGTCCGTTGAATTTGTTGGTTTCATTGTCATTATTATTACGAGTTCGATATGGCGTCCACATCTAGACTAAATTCAAGTATATACATTCTTAAAATTCTCAACGATAATTAAATTATTAATTCAATACTTATTTTTATATTAAATCAAAAAGCAATTGATAATAAAAGAGATACCAAAACATAATCGATTTATTCAACTTTGTATTATTTTTAAAAGAATTTCTATTCCAGACGTCTTTGCGTCTATTAAAATATACCATTGTATGTATCTATCTCTTACATAACAACCAGTAATATCAATTCAGTGAAGAAAAAATACATGAAGTATTCTACTGAGTTATGTTTTGTTTGATTTTAATTCATTTGAAAGAAAAAATGTAAATGATAATGAATATAAAGTTCATGAAATAAGAATTCAGACAAATAAAGAAATTCATGATGTGAGTGTTGAAAAATAATAGTAAATATAGCAAACTTACAAGGAAGCCGTTCTAAATAATAAAACGTTTTTGAGTTCGGACTCAGTACATAAGGTAAATCCTCGTACGACAGGAATGAAACTATTACCAATGTGGATTTCAGACTGAGTATTACCGGTGTATCGGTATTAATGTTTTTGCTCTTAGTATCTCATTGAGAATATGTAATGAAACTTTGTGGAAGGTTGAGCATGTTAAATTCCACTATTCATAGATGGAATAGTACAACAACTCGTCAGTTGAGTGTCGCTATAGATTTTTCACAACCGGTATCGATACTGGTCTGCTTAGGTCGATATCAATCGAGAAAAGCCCGGACAGGTTCAATCTTTGTAATAAGGTATGCAGAAATAAAAAAAGTATATGTGACCATATGCCTTCTGCTCAGAGTTATAACCATTTTAATGGGATTTCAATCAATAAAACGATATAAACCAGAAAATCGAATGATAGCGTTTCGACCTAGAATCTTGCATACAGACATGGCAGCTTGTAACTATAATATTTTGAAACTTTCAACTCGAAAGAATTTTTTTTTCATCAGATATTTGAAGAGAATGTTTAAGGCTACGTATCCTTTTGAATTTTTTTACACTTTACTGGGATTTACCTTATGCACAGAGTTCGAACTGTAAAACAATTTATCACTTAGAACAGTTCCTTCATTAGTCAATCTTGTCAAAGACGATTCTGTACGATTAACGGTAATGTCTGATGCTTCATTTATATAATCTATACAAATCATATAAAAAATAAATCATTCTATTTATAGATTCCTTTCCATTGCTTAAATTTTTTCTTATCCGTCAAAACACTTTTTCCAAATAGTATTTTTTCTAACAAACTTCTCAATTGACATCTGTACATGAAAATAAAAAGAGTATGAATCACAAGTTGAAAAAAGATTATACACTAATGAATAGAATCATTTTTGAAAAATTTAAATCAGAAATTTAGAAATCGAAGTAAACATTTTCAGGTGTTTTTAAACTTTCTGTTATAAACTATAATAAAAATAAATCATACTTTGATGACTTTTTCGACTCCACTTGATACTAGAGTATGTAAACGGGATGAATATCGAACTTGATTGACAACAGATCGATGTCCATGTAAAATCATATGAGCATTCCACACAAAATGATCTATTCATATTTAACAAAAATGCCTTCCTCTTTAACTTATAGAATTAAGACAAAATACCTGAACTGAGATGTGAGCATGATTGATGTTGAAGTGTATCTATTAAATTAGAATTTGCAAATAAAAAAACAACGATAAAAAAAAAATTTTTTCATATGTCATGATCATGAAAACTTACTACTATCATCATTGCTTGGTATTCGCCACATATAAACATTAAAATCATCTGAACCTGATGCAATATACTTTAAAAAGATGATAAATAATATTTTGAATAGAGGACAAACAAACTTAAAAAAGAGATACCTGATCATTGTCACCAACAAAACAGCCTGCTTTCATTGTACACAAATTTACAAAATTATCTGCATCAAATTGACAGAACGCATGTGACTGATGAAGTTTGAAAAGTACAGGAGGTAGTCGACGTCGAAGAGCATACAGAAGACTGCCATTACCATTAAAAGTAACGCTCATACCTTCAATATCATCATCATTATTACTAGTAGACATCCTACGCGATGAAGATGTTGGTGCACCATAACGAAGTACAGGACTAGAACAAAAATCAATTAGATTTAATGATGATTTTAAATAGAAAAGAATTTTTTCCTACAAACGTTGTACTCTTATTTCAATATTACTCAATATCAATTGTAAATTTTTATATACAGATCATTTCTATTTATTTTAAAAAGATTTACATCGATTGTATCTTCATTATTTACTTATCAAGATGTGATGTTTTTGTGTTAAATATCAATCTATCCTATTCACATTGCAGACATTGTTATAATATTCATAATATGAATAAATCAATGTCTGATAGTGAAAATTATTTTTGACGAAATCGTGTTCATATTTAGTAAAAACCGAAACAATTATCTTAAAATATTTTTGTATCTATGAAAAATTATCATTAGATGTATATCACAAAAAGGTTCGAAAATAGTTTCGATTGCATTTAATAACCATGCCTCATCGATTCTCACATTATTTCTTTATTTTTTATAGCGTAATCGGTTCCATATATGCTGAGCATTGCAATCATCTCTTTACAATAATAGATGAATATCCATGATCTACTAAAGTTTTTCACCAATCTTTTGCATAATATTTATCACAAATAATACAAAAAATTGTACTAACATTATTATCACATCTCTTAACAAATAACTAAATAGCAGAAAAATATTTTCCGTCGACATATGATGTATTAGGTTAAACAAATTATATATGTTGGCATACAAAATCAACAATAAAATCTTGAATTTGAATTATTTGATAAAGTTAATTTAGACTACGACTCAACCTTTGTAGAGACACACTTACAGATTATTTACAACACATAAAAACATATTTTATTGTTAGGTATTTACGAAATATGAAGATGATTTCGTCAACCGAACTTTCATTATCAAATATTTATTTATCCGAACGAAGAATATTATGAGTATATCTGTAATGTGAGTAAGATAGATTGACATAAAAAGCATCAGATCTCGATAAGTAAATGATGAAAAGTTAATGTAAATCGTTTCAAAATGAATAGAATAATCTATAGTGAAATGCGTTTTAGAAACAATTTTTTATTATTTTATGATAAACTAAATCCTATTTAGACGTTTATTTCTACGTCAACAATTGTCTTTCTTTCTATTTTCGATGAATATTCAATACGTCTACGCACACTCACATTATCATTTGTGATGTGAACTGATAAAAAATAAATGCGGAAACTTCGGATTTAAATCCGAGAGTTATGTGTACTTCAAAAAGTGAATCAGACGAATTAGCCATCCTAGAATGTGTAAATATCAAAATTATACTGGGAAACCTACTCTCTAAACTGTTGATTTCTATTGGGTATTGCCAAACCAATAGGACTTGGGACTGAATACAGCTCAAATTTGAACTTTTCCCCTTGATTTATCCTAAGAAAGTCGTTTTTCCTATAACTTGATTTCTATTAGTTACTGCTCAACCAATAGTATTTCGATGGAAGCGGAATGCAGATTCGAGTTCTCCATCTCAGAAAACCTCGAAGTATTATCTCTGCGATCGGAAGATAGAGCTCTATTTGTGGATCAATTAGATCGTGGACAAAAATAAAAGTTAGTTCTCTTTGATTATCTTTGTCATAGGTGAGTCAACCTTCTTGTTTCTTTATGTTTTATATACCATTTTGTAGGTCTTGAAATTCTTTATCGAATGGTATATAATAGTTGGGGTTTTAGTTGACTATGATAGGAAAAGTCTTTTACGAAAGTGGGGATGGATAGATCTTTTCATAGGGAAGCTATAGGGAAAAATGAGTATTTTTGCAATAACTCAGGAGCGGCTTGGCCGATCCTTCTCATCTTCGAACTCGACCGAGATATTGTAAAGACTGAACTCTATAGAAAATTTCATCTTGATCGAACTCTCCTTTCGAAAGTTATCGTGTAAATGGCCGGCCGGCCGGACATGCTGACCGATTCTAGAGTGTACTCACTTTTAGTACACAAAAACAGAGTTCAATGAAAATATTCGCATCAGATTTTGAATCCGCGCGAGTATTATAAGCTATATGCATTGCAAAACAACTTTTACGCTAGTTTTTCTCAGGGAAAAAAACATTTACCTTTTACACAGTCGAGTATCATATAGTTCGATGCCTCGTCGAGCATTGGCTGTAGCAATCAAACATGTTTGTTGTGGATGAAATGTACATGAATGAAATGAACCATCAAATGATTCAGCAACAACAATTGATGGTTGATCATGCGCAGCTGCTGATGAAACGGAACGTAAATCATATAAATGAATATGACCATCTTCAGTTGCTGCTATAAATACATCATTGTGTTGTGATTGTACAGATAAAGAATTGACTGGTGATGACTCAAGAAATACATCGACTAATTCATCTGCATGACTACCATTCGGTCCTCCTCTATGAAGGATAAAAAATTAAGCTAAAAAAAACTTTTCACTAAGTATTTATTTACTGATGTTGTTTTTCAATATCATGTACTAGAATTTGTTCATCATTTCCTTTTTAATAAAACAAAAAAAAAAAATGCTCAAGAAAATAAAATTTCTTATTTTTGTTTTTCACTTACCTGCTGAAATAACACGTCGATTATCATGATCAAATTTAATTGAAAATATATTACTTAAATGTGTTGCTTTTAATGATGTTGGCATTCGATTAGATTCATTAAAAAGTGTTTCAGCCATATTCCATATAACTACACGTTTATCATCACCACCTGAAAATAATTTAATTAACTTTTTATTCAATATAGATATTTATTTGTTTTTTTATTTAACCTGATGCAAGAAAAATACCATCAGAAGAAAAGTCAAGTGCATTTACACAACCGGAATGAGCATTTCCATCTTGGCAATATAATTTAGTATGTAAATCAAAACGATGTTGTAAATATTTTGATCGATTAGAATTCCATTGGTTACATTTTAAAGCTTCATCATGTAGATAATGAATTAAATTAATTGGTTTATATCGATGTGTCATTTTTTTCTAAAACGTTTCAAACATAGATAAGATATTGTTCGAACGAAACAAAGAAAAAAGAAAATAAAGAAGCAATAAAATGAATAACAATCAAATAAAATCATTTTGTCTATTGCCAAAAAAGTACACTAAACGCCATTCCAAGACACAATATTGATACATATTGGCTTTTTCTTTGACCAATTCGAGCAAATTTCCAAAATGTACCACGAAATCTAAATTTTTCAAAATAAAAATAAGACGATTATTAAGTATGCATACAAACCCTGTTCTATAACGATCGAGTAATTTTGGATAGAAATCATGTATATAAGTGCATGTACATATTAAAAGTAGGATGACAACAAGTAAACTTTGAAAGTTGAATAAAGCCGACTAGAATCATAAAAACAACATTATGGTAAATCATTTTGAAAAAGATAAAAAAAAATTTGGAAAATACCATAGTTTAGTTGAACAGAATTGAGAAACCGTCTGAGAGATCTAAAAAAAACAAACGATCAAGCAAACAGAACGATAGACATACGTTTCAAATTGCTCATTGGATTGTCGATCGATGAATTAATGTAAGAAAACGACATCTATAGAAATTATATAATTGACTTCAAAAATCAAATAATCATAGTTCTCAATAAAAAATTTAACAGTTTTTTTGTATAATTTTTTTTTTCAATGCATAAAATAATGGTTAAATACGAGGAGGTAAATAGGCGCTTGTAGTGCCAATCCTAAATGAGTCAAAATTGAAATTTTGCTTTGTCTCAATTAAACAATATTTTTGTAATCTCATAAAATTTTGTTCTGAATTCAATTATTTCTTTATTTAAAGTCCTTTGAAAAAATAAAAAAAAAACAATGTTAAATTTATATAATGGTAATGTAATGACAAACAATCGAAAATTACAAATTTTACTTGAAACAAAATTATCAACAGATGATAAAGTACCGAAAACAGGACGAGTTTTACGAAATAAAATATTTGTTATTGGTTTTCCCCCAAATGTATAAATAGTCACTCTCTTTTCTAATATTAATATAAAGAAATTATTTGTTTAGTGCACTGAAATGGATCTAGAAAAATTCTTTTCAAATTTTGGTTTAGTTCGTGAAACTCGAATTGTCAAAGATGAAAATGGAGTAACTAAAGGGTATTTTGTTTTTAATGAAGAATTTTAACTTGAAAAATCAAAATAATTTTATTTTATATAGATATGCATTCATTACATTTGCTAAAGAACGTTCAGTAGTGCATGCGCTTGAGTATCGAGTAAAGTTTTTCTTCATTGAAAATGAACTTTCTATTGTGAAATTTTCTTAGGGACCACTTTATTTCATGGATAGAAAATTATCCATTAATCCAGCTATAAAAAAACAACATCAATTCATTCAAACAGAACGATGTTTATCATCATCAACAAGTATTGATACACCATCAGATATGTCAAGTTCATCAAGTATTGTTTATATATAATTATCGATCATTTATATTTGTACTTTATTCTATAATAGATCATACAAAGGATCTTAATTCATTAACTAGTGCAAATATTTTTCCAATGATTTGTATGCAAATGGCATCTCAACCAAATGGAGCAGCCATACATCATTATTATAATACAGCGTCACAACCATATTTTTACTTTAATTTACCATCTCATCCAGTTTATTGTACATCTGCACCTGGTCCTATTTGGAATCATTACTTTTCCACAACATCTAGTTATCCAGTAAGTATTTAAAAAAAAGAACATGATTTTTATTAAACTCAATATTAAAATAGTAGAATTATACTTTAAAAAGAATTTTCTTTTCTTTTATGAAAATAAACTTACACTGCAGAACAAACATTCAAAAGTATCTTATGTACCAATTAATCTGTTTCGGATTTATACGGAAAAATATTTCAATCATATTTTATATATTGTATTAAGAGAAATTCTAAATTTTTACTAGTCGAATTCATTGGTAAAAATGATTATGCATATCAAAGCATTTGTATTTCATTCCATCTTTAAATAAATACTTTTCTCTTTGTTGACAAAATATCATTCTTAAATATAAAATCAGTTATTCAGTTTTTTGCTTCTTTTTAGTCATGTACTTATATGCCAATGGCTCACAACGGTGGTGAACCTTCAATGTTATCTCAAGTAAATGGTGGTATTTATCATAACTCGGTATGTTTACGAGAGAAGCCTTCCAGCTGATTAATCGCTTTTAAATTGAGGCTACGTGCGTCAGGTAGATCCTAATGGGTTATGAATACTCTAAAAAGACTTCCGGCTCATAGTTTATTGCTGCCAACATATTCCATTTATTACGACATTTTTCAACAGAATGTCGTGATCTTCTTCAAGAATACCAAAGAAACTGATGTTCGATATCCCGACTGGAAATATTATATAGAAACAATTCATGATGAAAATAGTTGATGGTGGAATTTTCAGATATTTTCCTTGTTCCTATTCAAAGATACAGTCACGGCAATAATGCTTTTTTTTACATCAGTTCTATACACTCGTAGATTCGATGTTCTTATTTTAGATATAGGAGAACACGAAAATATCTGAAACCTGCACGATTAATTATCATTAATAAGGCTTATTTCTATGTAAAGTTTCAAGTCAAAATTCGAAAATCAGATTTTCTGGTGTTCCTGAAGAGGAGGACCACGGTGTCATAGCCCATGAAGGTCTATATGATGGATATGCTTTTAGTTTGAAAACGATTAATCATTTGGTGAACTTTCCCTCGTTAGTATTGTATTGCAAAGATGTTGATATCGTTTATTTTAGATGATACGATATACAAATATTCCTGCAAGTAATAAAATATTTCAATAGATTTTTAAATAAAGAAAAATAAGACTCTGAATAATCAATAAGTACATTTGTATATAATTTCTAGTTAATATCAATCATTTTGTTTTTTTCTTTTGAGTTATTTTTTTTTGCTTTCTATTTTCACAATTGAACTAAAATAAAAAAAATAAAAAATATATCTCGTCAGATAGTATATGTGAACTCTCTTTTTTTTTCAGAAATCTATAGTCTTTCGTTTTGTTATTGTTGTTCTCCCGAAAACAATTAATTGTTGTTTTTTCTTTTGATTTTCATAATGTGATAAGAATGTGTCATTTTCTTCGTTGGTATATATATATATATATCTTTAGATATTTCTTTCTTTCTAGTTCGTTTATTTGTTTCTTCTAGTATTTCATTTCGAACAGTCAGATAGTTAAATCATGTGTGTTAGAAAAACAGATGTTATCTTGTGTTAATATTTTTTCATTTTTTCTTTGTTGTTTTCAATTCAATTTGTTGGCGATGTCCAATAGGAATATCTGATCATATAGTGTATGTGTCGTATTATCAGTTGTCAAAATAGAAGAAAAACGAGAATAAAAGTTATGATAAATACAACGAATAATGTCATGAATTGAAATAGTTTGATTCCAATGAAAACAATAAACTCAAGAGACAATCAAATATCTTTTGAGTGAACTTATAATCGATGTAAATTTCATAAAAAATACTAACGTAATAAATTTAAATTATATTTTGAATTAAGAGGTCTCCTTTGACGTAAAAGAATGATATTTTCATAGACAAAGGAATCGTTGTGTTAAAGGAATGTTGACACATATTTACACACTATCGTTTGTTGAATCGAGTAGAAATCTACGATGATGTTTACAGTAGACGAGACGGGCAAAACTGCTACTGTATGTTGTCGTTTTATAGAAATTGCAGTCGCAAACAGCTCTAAATCGACATTTGATCATCACAGTATTACGACCGTATTTGATTGTGCTGTACACAATTGATAACGGTCTGAAATCGAGTTTCCGGCCATTTAGAATACAGTGAAATAGGATCTTAATACGAAGCTTCCCAAAAAAAAAAAAACAATCTTAACCTGTCATTTACGATGGTACTTATTTGACCTGCGAAAGAAATACTTATAAGTTTTGAAAAAATATAATTTCACTTTTCTATTCACTATAGATTTTCTATCAAATGGATGCATGTAGTAATTCTGTATAATTTACTTAATTCATTTACACTGAGACTGCTACTTTGATATACAGTAGTGGACAAAATTATAAGAACAGACAGTTTTTTTAGTGTTTTCATTTCATTTGTCTTTACTTTTCATCTGCTCGAAATAGTTCATGTATCTATACATATGCATTCCGACATGCTCTATCCGAAACTGAACTCGGATTTCCTCGTTTTCAATATGAAGTTTGAGAACGTATATGTTTATTANGAGCAAAGACGAACTGAACCGAACTCTAACCTCACGATATGTTTTCTCTTCTAGAGTATCAAATTCTTCTATCGAATGGTGTAAGATGATTGAGTCTTCGGTTCACAATTGCCGGATATCCATAGCTCATATTGAAAAGCCCCATTGTTTATTTTGCCACATGGTCGTCCACAAGATAATCTTCATAACTTTTGGTCTTGTCAAGGTAAATCGTTACCGTGAGATATTCTATAGATAGACTATCCTTTTAGAAGAAAAAAGCTAAACCCAAATTTCAGCGTATACCAGCTAGAGGCTGAATCGAACCGAGTTCGACCGGTTTGAGTTCGGTTCAGTTCGTCTTTGCTCCCTAAAAACTAGTTCGGGTTCGATTGAGTTCGTTTTCGATCTTTGATGTACAACAATCAATTAAATGTCGTTTGATCATTGCCCAGAACGTCGAAATTTTACAAAAACAGTGATATCTCAATGAATCACTTTTCCTATACGTTTATCTATATTCAGTTGTGTTTCGAAAATTAGTGTCGGCTTCGGTTCGTTTTCGATCTCTAATGTCAGCTCTATGCGATACAAACAATTTTCTCCTGAAGATACTCCCAAGTGATAGTTACGGATTGATTATCAGGAACGACTCATCAGTGACTACTAAGGACTCATCAATCATTACATATGTATAACTGTTGATGAACCAACAATGGACACTTTTGTATCATAGATTATTGCGCAAATCATGACTAGAGTCAACACATTGGCAGTTGAAAAGTACCAGTCAACCGCACCTTGCTTATTTGTAATCATTCAGTAGTTCTTTCGAATAGAAACCCCTATGATTCTAGTCACAATCTAAAAAAACATTTCCTTCACGTAACAAGAGTGAGGAGTGTGGTGCACGACACTATTGTGTTCGAAAGAAAAAGAAGAAGAGTCTGGTAAGATGAAGTATGTGGGAATTGGGAATGAAAAAGTCAGCGTACTTTTACTAAACAAGCATGCCTTACACAGTCAGATTCTCGTAAATTGCGATCTTAGTTCAGAACAACTTTCTTAACCAGCGAATGGGAAGGTATCCGATTCCTGCATACCCTTTTATACGTGTCTACATTATTAAAAGTAAAATGGGACAATTTTGCATCATAATGACGTTTATTTATTTTTCAATCTGTCTTCCAGATGCTTCAGCAGACGGCATACACTGGCTTCTTTGTTTACTTATGTGATTTTATGAAATGACTCAAAGACAAGAGGGAATTTTTTTTTTCATCTTTTTCGTTCTTGCACGCTTTAGATAGTTTGTGTACACTTTCTTTCGACTGTGCTTTGGCGACAAATGAAACAATTTTTCAAACATTGTTTATTGCGACAAGAAAATTAAAGAGATACGCACAAAACTCTGGTTATAAATTTGGAGCAAACAAGTTTCAAAGCTTTTCTCGTGAGCTATAAAGATTTGGTACAGGACAGAGAAAGCAAAGATTCACTCCAAATCCTATTGAACCAATATATTTCTTACTGTCAAACGAATAATTTTGGCCAAGGTCTCGACCGATAGCTCGCTATAATCTGCACCTGCTGACACATCGTGAAGTCAGATTGAAACTCGACGAACATCGATAAAACTTAATTTTATCACTTTTAGGAATGAGTGCAAAATACGTCATATCCTAGAAGAATATCTAAATGAAATATCTTAGTTTGATATCAGACGGATTTTATAATTCGAACGAATTTCAGTCTTATAACATTTTCGGATACAGCTAATAGTTTTATCAAGATCCAGTAGTGCTTGAAATTGAAGAATACCTGACGGATTGCGACATGTTCTTTGAAGACAAGGTGCTATACAGACCAACAGTTTTTACTGTATGGATTCACTTGTGTACTGCACCGCTACTGATTGACTGTTACTCATGTTTCTCTAGACAAAAAGTCATGATGGGTATAGACGAGGGATGAGTTTGCTGCTGAGAATAAAAACCACATATAGATACAGGCTCACTCACCCGCTCCAGTGCATAACAACCATTACCACGCTCTCACTCTGCAGTCTTTTCATTGATGAGCACTACTCAACAAATAGAGACAAGTAATCAGCAATGATTGAAAACATGATTGAAGGAATGTTGTTGTTTTCAATCACCTTTTTCACTAATGATTTGGCCAATAAAAAAGGCCCACTCATCTTTCGAAGAAACAAAAATCATCCTTCAAAAACACGTGAGTGAGAGAAGCTGCAAGAAATATTTTCTTTTCGAATAACATTCGAATCATTTTCTGTTTTGTTTCGACTACGACTTTTGAGTAAAAAAAACCCTGATGCGAATAGTAGAACAATATTACGTCCTTCATTTTCATTCGATCTTAACAAACAAATACAACGTGACTCACGTTTCAATAGGCAAAGAATCTTTGTGTGCATATATTCAGAAAGCATCGAGTAATTTTATACCTTTTTTAAAAGCTTGGTAATACCAAACGATCACAGTTCTATTGGAAAAATTTTCTGAATGGCATCAAATCACATAAGAAAAACAAAACGAAAGATAAGAGTCAGACAAGCTCGAGGCCGACATCGGTGAGGATGAGGTTTTTTCTTCATTCGCAACCCACACCTACACTAAAATCCATTCACATTACACTCAAAGAAGTGGACCAGGAAACTAATGCAATTGAATATTATGAAAAGTTCCTTGAAATTAAGAATGTCGCATTAGAATGTGCATTAGTATTAACATTTATTAATACTAACGCTAATGCTTTAAGCATTCGTATTATTTGTATTAGAATTAATTAGTGTCAAGATGTTAACATTAAGTTAGCATCATTTTAAATTCCATTGCATAGACTATGGGCCACTAGATATTGAATAATGTCAGTTAAGAATTTCCTAAAATCGAACAATTTTTCTTTGGAAATGATATTTTCATGCGTGAAAGCAATTGTTATGTTATCGGAAACTTTTGAAGATGAACTCTCAGAGGTACAGTAGCAGATAGTAAATCTATTATAATTAAAAATAATTCTCGTTGAATACTAACAGTTAGGCATTAATTAATTCTAATAAAAATAATACCAAAGCATTAAGGTTAATTTTAATAGTAATGCTTATAGCATTAGCATCATTCTAATACTCATGTTAATATGGCACCTCTAGTAATGAACAATGCGATTCCTAACGATTATCAACAAATAATTTGATTTCTTCTTCACATCAACGACATATTATATAAAACATCATTTCAAATATACGTAAAAACAATTTTTATCGTTTATTAATAAAGAGTATAAGTAACACTGGTCCTTGCAACTCGCTTGATCTTCGACTTGACGCCTAAGTCTTTTTATATAATAGTCTATTTAACAACCCCATTCAATACTAATATCAAATGTATTCATGAGGAAAGGAATAAGTGTGAACATGAAAGTGCGCGATGGTGCCAGTGAGGATCTCAGCAAGAATGCCGATATGCATGTAGTGTTGCACTTCTCTTCAACTAGTCAACCGATCACACTTATACCTAATACACAACCACATTCAAATCTCGCTACTGTCATTCACACACGACAATATACATCCACCTACACTCGCCCTTATTATTATTCTGATATTAGATGAATAATGATCAAATAGTGTACAAATGTAGAGCTTCGCTTTTACTATTAGTCTATATAGTATAGAAAATTTCCTCAAGCATTCTAAACGAAATTGAGATATCTTCGCCACTACTTTTGATATGCCCAGAGTACGGTAGGCACAAAAATAAGAGTGTGTGTCATGATCGCCATAGTCGTATCCTACACGAAAGTTGCCTCCTGTACGACATGATGAGTTGAGACATTTTAAAAACATCTTATTGCTCTTCCGTTTATTAAAAAAGGAGCATTTCGTCTAATAAACAATTTTTTCTAATCTAACAGACAACGAATCAGATGAGAATAAACTTTTAGCTTTGTTTGTTTTTTTCTGAAGAAAAAACATTTAAATTCCGAATCCAAATTTGTAATTGAAACAGACTTGAAATCAATGAATATCTACTCTTTTCTCTTTATTACCATAGATAACGGGTTCTTAGCGGCTTCGACCGTGACTATCAGGTAGTCGTAAATAACCTCATACGAAGATTAGAAACACTCGTTTACAATCTATATACATAGTTGCCATATACAGACTCTGTACTCAAACAACGTAAGAATACACATTCTGATAAACAAGAAGTATTGATCACATCAATATGTCACCAGTAAACGTATTTCTATAGTTTAAAATCGGAAATGATTTTTACCTTAGTCATTTTTGATATATTTTGACATCGCTGGAAAATTATCTGTGTAGGTGAAATGCTTCAATAATTAGTTTACAAACATACGATTACTGAATCAATATTACTGTTGACACAGCGAGCATTCTGTAGCATGATCAATCATACTTTTCAAAGAATATAAAGCAATCCCTTGAGGTTAAAATAGTGCGACAACGATAAAATTTCATTCGTTATAAAGATATTTGATAATTATATTTATATTAGTTGTTGAAAGATGTACGAAAATCTGACGATGACTGTATTTTTCCCAACTGAAAAAAGTCGAAACATTCTTGTCTAATAACTAAACAAATATTTTTAATGCATAGATAATTTTCCAATTAAATTTTATGAACCTTGAAAACTTTTAGTCATGATCAAGAAGCTGATAAATTTTTCATAATCACTGTAAATCAGGACCTTGTTCAATATTTCGAGCTTTGTTCTCTTCACTTCTTTTTTAATACTGTACGATTCGTGAATAACACTAAAACAATGAGTTTTTCTAGTTTATATATGTTGAAAATATGAATGAATTTTTACTTGCACACTTTTTTTTATTATTTTATTTTACATTATGAAAACATGACAACCGCCGCGGTAAATGAGTTATTAATTTTTTTTCCCATTACTTTTTGTTATTGTTGCACCATTTCGATTCTATATTTCATTCACATAAATGAAATATTAATTCGATGGCATCGTCTTTTGTATTCTCTTCTACGTCCTCCGTTAAATCTTCTTCCCTTCTATCAACTCGTGAATTTCTCATTCGTACCAAAACATCTACTGGCGATATAAATAATTATGAGAAAGTGGTTACATTGCGTATATTTGATGATATGCATCATGCAAGCGAAGAAATTATTTTAAAAAAATCAGAATCACAAAATCAATCACTCGAAAACAAGAATATCAATGTATTTCATGTTAGAACTCAACAAAAATTAGGCGAAACAATACTAAAACTTAAATTACATTCGACAAACATAGGCAATTCACAATATGCAAATGATAAGAACGAACGAATTTTTTTGAAATGGATTGAATTAACTGATCTGTATTCGAAAAGTAAATTCTGCTTTCCAGTCGAGGATTATTTACCATCAAGTCCTGGTGATGCATTAGAACTGACTGAAGTTCATCAAGATAGTACTTGTGAAGAGAACAATCAGCAAGATGTGGCTATTCATACTACAATAAACTCATCCAAATTAGATACTAACAATGAAAATAAGGCTGTAAAGACATTTAATACATCAGTCACCATTACAGAAGATAAATCAAAATATGTCAAATTATACGATATTCGAACAAAAACGGCACATCAAGGATTTTTAGGAATTAAATCATTAATGACAGCTAATGTCTATGTAAAATTATATGATATTCATCATCAATCATCTGAATCGATTCCTTTAACAGCATCTAGATTACATGAAAGACCATTTCGATCAAATCAAACGGATCAATTCCAAGTTGGTACAATTATTAAACTTGGTCCATTAAAAAAAGTTGAAATTTGGCATGACGGAAAGAAGGGAACACGATTACATTGTGATACACTAGAAATAACCGATCAAAGTAATGGACAAATATATTGTTTTCAAATCAAAGGTGAGTTTATTATTGATTATTCTAATATAACTATTGACCGATGTACTTTAGAATATCTTGATAGTGATACAAAACTTACTTTAACCGATTACGATAATCGACGATGCCTTGATATTCATTCGGAACACCAAAAATCGCCAACAAAAGATGTTATTACATATCAGAACAAAGAGGATGATGTATCAATATTATCGAATACTGCACAAATAAAAAAGCAGTTATTACCAGTAACACAGCAAAAAACATCATTGACAAATTTGAGTAGTGCTATAACGAGTATTGTTAGTTCAAATGTTAATATGAATCAAACATTATTTAAAGTACGAACAAGAGGTTAGTCGACGAGACTTTATTTCACACTAAAATACTGTACAGCATTTGTCATGAATCTTATAGTTGGTCACAAAGGTCTTCTTTCTTTGGGTTTGGGTGGAACAGATTTTAAAGTTTATATACGTATGCATGAAGATGAAAAAGTTACCGATGATATACTATTAAATAATTCTTTGACACACAATAATTCTTTTGAATCTGGTCATATAGATGTGTTTGAAATAAGTGTGCCACAATATATTATATCGCCAGATCGAATTGAAATATTCTACAAGGGAAAAAAACATGATGGTCTTTATTTGAAATGGATCGAAGTTATGAATATGAATACATTAGAACGAAAATGGTTTTTCAATCTATTTTTCTATTTCATCTTATAAATCATTTGATTATTTTGTTGTAGTTTTCCTGTTAATCGATGGCTTGAATTAAATATAGTTGATAAAAAAACACATATTATGTTAAGAGATTTTATTGTAGATGAATCATGTGAAGAAAATGAATATCGTGAACATCATTCACATGATCAATATAAAACTGAGTATGTTGTTAGAACGAAAACAAGTCTAAATCAACCAATAAATAATAGTGATACTCATGCAAATATTTATTTAAAAATATATAATGATAAAAAGAAACATACAGAAGACATGTTATTGAGCAATTTAAAACATCATACAAATCCATTTCGAGCAGGAAATATTGATAAATTTGAAATTGGATCAATTCATTTAATGGATGATGCTATTGATAAAATTGAATTATGGCATGATAATACATCTAATTTTGATTGGCTTTGTGAATGGTAAGTGTTGAACATGTTTTCAGAACATGTTTATTAAAAATTATTCATTAAAATAGGATCGAAATAAAAAATAAAAAAACCAATAATATTAAATGTTTTGGTGTTAATAGAATTTTGTCACGGCAATCATCTGATGGTGCAACTAAAGTTGTACTTACCATTCATTCACATTATCCGTGCGATAAAATCGAACATGAATTACATAATTTAGCTACTACTGTAGCGATTCAAGATCGGTTTTCTCATTTGAATAAAATCCAATATATTCCTCAAACACATTATCATTCACCAAATAAACATGATTTTACTAAAAAATATATAGTGACAATAAAAACAGGCAATAAAATATTATCAGGAACGGATGCTAATGTATTTATTCGTTTGTATGATGATCAAAATCGTCAATCAGAAGATATTTTACTTGAACAAACGGTGACAAATAAAGTTCCATTTCAAAAACATGCTATAGATGAATTTCATACTGGTACATTAAATAATCTATCGGATTTACAAAAAGTTCATTTATGGTATACGGATGAGAAAAATGAAGGATGGAATGTTGAATGGTTACAAATCGAAGATATCGACTTGAATCGTCTTTATTGTTTTCCAGTGGTAAGTTTAGAAAGTTAAATTAATTTACTTTCGAACTCATTAATGCTTTTGAAGAATAAATGGCTTGATTCAAATTCAAATGATAAAACAACTCATATTGTACTCACAGAATTTACTGTGAACGAACCGTGTTTAAGAGTATCTAATCAAAAAGATCAGAAAAATAGTCAACTTTCACAATTCAAACAATCCTATCATGTTGAAACTAAGACTGGAACAAAAGGTTTTCTTGGATTATCTTCTACAGGTAGAGATATATATCAAATTGTCAATATCATTTATTTGTTATATGCAAGGTACAAATGCAAAAGTCTATATGCGAATTCATGACAAAAACGGACAAGTATCTGAACCAATTGAACTTCATCAATCTATTAATCATAAGAATAAATTTGAACGAGGACAAACAGATGAATTTGATGTTGGTATGTTAATAGAAAATATTATATTTAAATATTAGATTGAATATTCTCGTTGTATATTAGGCTCCACTCAATTACTCAATGGTATTGATAAACTCGAATTATGGCATGATGATACTGGTATTGGTCATGGATGGTTTGCTGACTATGTAGCTGTAATTGATAATAAAACTGGTGAAGAAGCATGTTTTTTTATTGGAGAATATTTAAACAAGCAGAATGGTGGAGTCGAAGAAAAACATCTTATATTAGATAAGCAAACACTCGACAATCGACCATGTCGTGAGCATAAGTTTGATGTAAATGAGTCAACAATTCAAGAAACTGTAGCAGCAGGAAATTCATTAACACCATTTACACAAACATACCGTATTGAAACAAAAACAGGTATAACAAAAAAAAGATTATGCAACTCTTTAAAATAGAGGAGCTAACGCGACTTTTTTTTTCAGAATTTTTTTCAGAATTTATTAGGTTTATCTAGATTAATCTATTGATAGCACACAATAGATTTGAACTGCATCAAAAGAGAGACATAATTCTAAAATATCAACCTCCACCCTCATCTGGTCGTTTTCACTCTATGTATCTTTTTTGCTGTAATCCTCAGTCAGGCACCTTTTCTCAATATAATTCTTTCCATTTTATGATAAGATGTATAGTGAGATTTATAGAAAAATCTCTCCGAAAATAAATCCTGAAAGTTGATGTTGTTATGATATTTATGAAAGAAATATTTTTCATAGTACATCTCAAATGTTGATCAAATATTAAAATCATTCTAGTCTTGTTTTCATTAACTACTTTAACTCTCTACTGATAAAGAGATCTATCAATCATAATCTATAACAAATTTCAATCACACACATAGGTCATACTGGTCTTTTTGGTTTGGGTGGAGCGAGTACAAATGCAAACGTATTCATTCGTATTCATGACAATAATGATAAATTATCTGAACCACTTCAACTAAAACATTCGTTAATACATAAAAATAAATTTGAAAGAAATCAAACTGGTAAAAGAATATTGATCAATATGTTTGATTTTTGATAATTGAATTTTTCATCATAATAGACCAATTTGATGTGGGCACTTATAAAAGTCTGGATGGTATTAAGAAGGTCGAATTGTGGCACGAAAGTGGCAAAAATGATGGATGGCAAGTGGATTATGTTAAAGTAATAGATAACAAAACAGGAGATTCTTACTGTTTTTTTGTCAATGGCATGCTTGATAAAAATTCTGGCTTAAAAAAAACTCATGTTTTACTTCAATATCCATCAGTAAATGTTTCATGCTTGGATGAACTAAAGGTAATGAAAACAATACATAATACCACGGCAATTAACATGATTGATTCTCAAAAGAATGATAAAATCGAAAGAAATTTCACGATTAGAACTAAAACAGGTAAGTAAATTTATATCGAGAAAATCATTTCCAGTATTATTTCATTTCTAAAATTTTTATGGTTAACTCATAAAATTTGTATAGGTAATCAAGTAGAAGCTGGTTCGACCACACCTATTCATATTCAATTGTTTGATGATCGAGGTCAAAAATCTGAAGATATACGCCTTAAACACAAAGATCATGATAAACATAATTTTGAACCGAGTGCTATTGATGAATTTCAAGTGACATCTTTTCAGCCACTATCTAAGAAACTACAAGGCATTCGTGTTAAACATAATGCTGATAAATATCAAGGATGGTGAGTAAAAAAAGCAAAGATATATTGAATTTATATTTATGCATTTCCATGATGATAATTTATTGTTTATGCTATGATATTTTCCTTTACTATTTATTTCATAGGTATGCTGAATGGATAGAAATTACAGACGAAGATAACATGCAAACTTATTGTTATCCTATTCAACGATGGATTGACAAAGCTGAAAATGATAAACGAACTGACATATATTTCTCTGATGTTTCTGACGTGCCATGTGATTCATTACTCAATACAATGCCTGAATCAGGTCATCAATCTGTATCAATTGTTCGAGAAGTACCTGCTGGTACTGTTTCATCTTTAACATATCCATCACAGACAACAGCTCAAACACTAGCTACATCATTCAAAAATACTTATCATGTGAAAACTAAAACAGGAAAGAAAGGTTTCTTAGGTCTTTCATCAACAGGTAAGAATGAATGGTTATTTCTTATGTTAATATGATCGGTTCCGAGTATAGGAACAAATGCAAAAGTTTTTTTACGAATTATTGATAAAAACAGTGATGTTTCGGAAACTATTCAATTACATGGTTCAACTGATCATAAAAATAAATTTCAACGAGGTCGAACTGATGAATTTGATATTGGAACGAGCAAACAGTTAAATGATATTGATCATATTGAATTATGGACAGATGGAAAAGATTTGGATAATGGATGGTTTCTTGAGTATATCCAAGTAACTAATAACAAGACAGGTGATATTGCATGTTTTCCTGTCAATCAATATTTGAATCATAAGAACGGTGGAATTGAAGACAATCCATTAAGATTGAAAAAAGTAACGGATGAACGATCTTGTCAACAATTAATCGAAGATAGTAATGATAATGATAATGAATCCGAAGAACAAATCTCATCTTCTAATGTGAAGTTTTCCGGTCTATCTAGTAAATACAAGAATACATTTTCAGTAGTAACTAAAACTGGCCATGTTGGCTTTTTGGGTCTGAGTTCTGCTAGAACTCATGCGTAAGTTTAGTTTAATGATTATGATTAAGTTTAAAACAAAATATTATTCTTAGTCCTGTATTCATTCGTATACATGATACTAAAGGCAAAATATCTGAAGCAATTCAATTACAGAATTCCATTAGACATACGAACAAATTCGAAAGAAACCAAACTGGTAAGATATAGGAAAGATATAAAGTTTTTGACTATATTCACATCCAATGATATTTTTCTTCTTTTATTTTTAATAAAATATCTTACGAAAAAAAAATATTGTTTCGTAAATTAGATTTTATTTTCAATTGAAATGTGTATTGTTTTTATATTTTCATCTTAGATCAATTTGATATTGGAACTTACGAATTGCTTGAAGGTGTTTCACGAGTCGAACTTTGGCATGAAAATGATAAGAACGATGGATGGCAACTTGAATATATTCAACTTATTGACAATCAAACAAATACATCTTATTGTTTTTCTGTTAATAAAATGCTTGATAAAAATTATGGTTCAAAACAAACTCATATTCTACTTGAAACACCATTGATCAATGTATCCTGTTCCGATCAAAGTCAAGTAGTACAAAGAAATCGAATGAATACAGACATGACCAGTTCGAAGAAGAAAAAAGATAAATATGTACGAAACTTTACTATTCGAACAAAAACTGGTAAAATTTTTCGATGATAGATATTTTGTTTTTGAATCTAGTGATTAATTATTCTTTGAAAGGCAATCAAATAGAAGCAGGTTCGACAACACCCATTCATATTCAATTATTTGATGATCAAGCACAAAGTTCAGAGGATATTCGTTTGAAACATCATGAACATGATAAACATAATTTTGAACCTGGTGGTAAGTTATTTGAAGAGAAAAATTCTGCATAATGCATGATCTCTTAATCAATTAATCATAGCTACTGATGAGTTTCGAGTAACATCTTATCAACCGTTATCAAATCAATTGACTGGTATTCGTATTAAGCATAATGCTGATAAATATCAAGGATGGTAAGATTGGTTTCTTTTTCGAAAGCAATTTTTTCTTTGACGATACTGTTATTTTTATTTGAAGGTACTGTGAATGGATAGAAATCATAGATGATGATAATGAAAAAATCTATTGTTATCCAATACAACGATGGCTTGACAAGTATAGTTATTCAATTATTCATTCACATAGTTCAATAGTCGATGTACTTATTTTTGTAGAGCAGAAAATGATAAGAAAACTGATGTGTATTTTAATGATTTATCAGATGTTCCCTGCAGTTCTTTATCTGATACAATTATGGAATCAGGTCATTATTTAGCTTCCATTATTCGAAGATCACATACATCGCAATTATCATCGGAAATATCTCCTATACCATTTCAAAATACCTATCGTGAGCTATTGATATCATTTGATATCTATCAATTTAATCATTATTTTATCAAATAGATGTAGAAACAAAGACAGGAAAGAAAGGTTTTCTTGGCTTATCATCTACTGGTGAGTATCGTGACTACACAGAGTCCTCATACAAAAAAGTACTACATATTTTTAAAGGTACAAATAATAATGTATATATTCAAATCATTGATCGTAATGGAAATAAATCAGAACCAATTCAATTAAAGAAATCTATTGATCATAGAAATAAATTTGAACGTGGTCATATAGATGAATTCGATATTGGTATGTAATTGTCTCTCTCTCTCTCAGTATTTTGAATACAAACTAAAATATGCATATATATATACATATTGATAGGTTCCACAAAGCCACTCAACGGTATTAACCAGTTAGAAATTTGGACCGATGGGAAAAGTTTTGGACATGGATGGTATGCTGATTATATTATTGTAACAGACAATAAAACAGGCGAAGAAGCATGTTTTCTGATCGATGAATATCTGAACAAGGAAAATGGTGGTGTATCTGTTAATCACCTTTTATTGGATAAGCAGACCGGTAATATTTCATGTCGTGAAAGACATCAAAAGCAAGAAGATGATCTTGATACTATTCGAACACTTCAAATGGAAGCTATTAAATCAGTTATAATTTCTTCCGATCATGCTTCATCTACTATTGTCTACAAAAGAACTTATCATATTGATACGAAGACAGGTATATGTATTGATATCAATACACAACTCATACTTAAAATGTTAATACTAAACTGATTGACATTTATCAATGCAAAAACAAGAAATTTTGTCTGATGAATTTAAGTGTGAGAGAGCAATTGTTTGTTATTAGAAGTTGATGAAAATTTTTAAAGTTAACATGAAGCAGTATTCAATTTCTCGTCGAGAATCTTTCATGAATTGTTTTCTTATAATTGAGTTTCATATTTTAGGTCCTAAAGGATTTTTGGGTGGTGTATCATCAGCTGGTACTAATGCAGATATTTATCTACAAATTCATGATAAATCAGGTCACATATCTGAACCGATTTCTCTACGTTGTTCAACAAAACATTCGAATCCATTTGAAAAAGGCAAAACAGGTTCACAAAAAACAAAACGAAAATAAAAACTGTCATAGTGAACTTTTTTTTCTAATAATTTAGATTCGTTTGATATTGGTACAAAAGAATCTCTCGATAGTATTGCTAAACTTGAGTTATATCATAATGGAACTGACCTTGATCATGAATGGAATGTAGAATATGTCAATATTGTTGATAATACTACGGGACATAGTTATTGTTTTTCAAATGAAAAATGGCTTAGTAATTCTGAACATTTAATATTAGATAATTATGTATTAAATATATCATGTGAAGACGTAATCAAAGAACAAATCGAATCAAAGATTGATACAAATAGTACAAAAATCAAACAAAAACGTAGTTTTACTGTACGAACGAAGACAGGTAAAAATCTTTGTGATTTGAATAAATTTATCTTTTTCGTCCTTAAGGATCTCAAGTGGAAGCTGGTTCGACAACACCGATTTATATACGTCTTTTCGATAATCGTTCTCAAAAATCTGACAAAATTCGTTTAAAACAAAAAGATAAAGATAGTCATCATTTTGAACCAGGTTCAATAGATGAATTTCATGTAACATCCGATAAACCGTTGAATACATTAACTGCCATTGAAATTTCGCATACTGCGGATAAATATCAAGGATGGTAAATTATAAAAAGAAAATTAAATAACGAGTGATTGAAATTTTTTTAGAAAAGATGTTTGTTCAGTTTTGATCTATTAGAGAGCTTTTTCGATGAATCGAAATCTATGAGAGAGGAACCTGAATTTCATGCTCTTTTCGAATATGAGCTTAGGGATTTTGTCTCAATTTTCATTTTTTCGAAAAAACTCATTTTTGAAAAATCAACAACCGCTTTACGCGTTGAAAGAGACTCTTGAAAAAATGCTTATAGTCTCACTTGGATAAAAGATACAACTTAGTTCAATTTCATGTTTTGTAGAGAAGTATTCAATCTAAAAAATGACCAATTTGGACAATATATAGCATATTCGTAAAAGGAATTATAAGATAAATAAAAAATCTGTTGACTCACCATTAAAAATAACTTTTCAAGTCTTTCACACAGTTCTTCACTACTCTTAAATAAAACTAGATACAACATTTATAAACCTATATTCAAATCCTGATGGCGACCAATAGTTTTTGACTTCTGTGAGATACCTTCAAGGAGACCAAACTGAACGAACATGTTCACCGAAAACATCGGTTTACAAGTTCCGTCGAAATGAAGTTTTTCGAAGATTTTTTCACTACTCTCGAAAAAAAAACTGAGATAAAACTTCTAAACACATAAAATTCTGGTGCTAATTCATAGTTTTTAACAGGTTGAGAATTCTTTCTAATGAGTTAAAAGTGAAAAAATATATTTGTATAAAACCTTTTCAGTTATCCGCTATATAAACAAGTTTGATCTAATTTTTTCAGGTATGGTGAATGGATATCAGTGACTGATAATGATGAAAATAAAACATACTGTTTTCCATTGCAACGTTGGTTAGATAAAGGAGAATTAGATGGAAAAATTGATATTCATCTAAAATATATTCCAACAATGATTTCTTGTGAACAATTACCTGATTCAATGAAACGACCAAGTTCATTATTAAGTACATCTATTCAAAGCTCAACAATAAAAAATATAATAGAAGAATATAAATCACTATATCATGTACAAACAAAAACAGCAAAAAAGGGTTTTTTGGGATTATCACCGACGGGAACTGATGCAAACGTATTTATTCGAATTCATGATAAAGATGGTAAAGTATCTGAATCAATTGAACTCAAAAATTCTATTGATCATAAAAATAAATTTGCTCGTGGGAAGATAGGTAAATTTCATAAGCTAAGTTCAAAGTGTTAGATTTCCCATTGATATTATAGATGATTTTGACGTTGGATCAACCCATGAGTTAAACAGTATGAATAAACTTGAATTATGGACTGATAGCAAAGACATCAGCAAAGGGTAAATATTCTTTTATTTTTCGTTCTAATAGTTTATCCATTTTTTTTTATTTCATAGATGGTACCCAGAATACATTCAAATAACAGATCAAAAGACAAATGAAGTTAGTTGCTTTGTTATCGAACAGTATCTGTAAGCATGCCAGTCATAGTTGTTTTTTTAATGTTTATTTTTTGTTTCTGCTGTAGAAACGAAAAATATGGTGGAGTGAAGGATGATCATTTAATATTAGATAAACAAAAAGATAATCGAGTATGTCAGGAATTAAAGAAAGATGATACAATTAATTCATATGATAAAAATTATGATGAAACCAAACAAAGCTTTCTTTCCAACGTAGAATCTCAAGGAAGATTTCAAGTTGAAATTAAAACAGGTAAGCAGATTTCTATGTGTTTTTTGTTAATATTTTTATTTGTAATATTATAAGGTCATAGTGGGTTTTTGGGATTGGGTGGTGCTGGAACTGATGCACCTGTATTTATTCGAATTTATGATAGTAATGATCATAAATCTGAAGCATTTCAATTAAAATATTCGACAAAACATAAAAATAAATTCGAAAGAAATCAAATAGGTCTTAAAAAAGAAGAACATCCCATGTATTCTGACTATATTTTATCTTAAATTTTTCTAGATCATTTTATTGTTCATACTGACGAACCATTTGATGACATTTCTAAACTTGATCTATGGCATGAAGGTAATGAAAATGATGGATGGCAAGTTGATTATGTCAACATTATCGACAACAAAACTAATATATCCTATTGTTTTCCGGTAAATACAATGCTGGATCAAAATTCTAGTTTAAAACAAACAAGTATACATGTTGAAAATCCATTAATTAATGTATCTTGTAAAGAAGAAACCGAAGCAATTAAGAAAAGTCATAGTTATACATCAGTATCAAAAAAACTTAAACCAGATAAATTATCTCGAAATTATACTGTTCGAACAAAAACAGGTATTATTTAACAATAGTCTATTGTAATTTTACTAAAAAGAAATATTTAATATGTTATCATTAAATAGGTAATCATGCATCGGCTGGTTCAACAACACCTATACATCTTCAATTAATCGATATATATGATAAAAAATCGAGAGATATTCGATTAAAGAAAAAAGATATGGAAGGCCATCATTTTGCACCTGGTAACATTGATGAATTTAAAATTACATTACCTGAACCATTATCAACATTAAAAGCTGTTAAACTTTCACTTGATGCTGATAAATATCAAGGTTGGTATGGTGAATGGATTTCAATTACCGATGATAATAATCAAGTGAATTATATTATTTTTCTCTTATTATTCATTGTTAATTATTTCCTCTATTAGGAAACCTATTGTTTTCCAATTCAACGTTGGTTAGATAAAGGTGAAAATGATCATAAAACTCATGTTATTCTATATCAACAATCTATTATTCCATGTAATCAATTATTGGACTCGATACTTATTCAATCTTCATCAATGAACAATGAAGATAACGAGCAATCAAGCAATAGTGAAGGAAATATTAAAACATCTATCACAAATCTATTATCATTAGATCATCGATATGAAAATATAGGTTCTCATGATTTTCAAGTACGTACGAAAACAGCAGATAAATCATTACAAGGCAAACTTGGACGTGATGCTAATGTTTATTTAAATATCTATGATAAAAATAATAAACAAATCAGTGGTTCTATAAGACTTCAAAATTCGAAAAATCATAAAGTACCATTCCAAAGACATCACACAGATAAATTTGATATAACAATACCAAATATTAAAATTAATGATATTGATCGAATTGATTTATATCATGATGGACGAAATGATGGGTAATTTTTGAAAAAATTTTACATTTTGTATTTTATGAAACATAATCTAAAAGAAGGGTAGAACTGCGCCCATCCTTTTCACAGATCATGGTAGACTGTATCATGAAAATCTAACAGACACGATAGATGTAACCATAGAAATAGCACAGACTGTGACTAACGTCGTTGTTATATGATGAAAGACCGTATATCAATAATGTCTCATTATAATCTATGAACTACTTTGTTATTGCATCCATGGAGAATTCAGTGAAAGGATGACGAAGAGATTTCTTCTAACAAAGATAGATTTAAAAGATCCCTCTGTGATTAGTAATAGCAGCTACATCATATTTCACATTTTAATTCTGCAAAGATTGTACTAAGAGTTTTTCTTTATAGATGGTTTTGTGATTTTGTTGAAATAAAAAATCGTCAAACAAATGAAACAAAATGTTTTTCTGTTCATCAATGGTTAGATAAAGTATCCGACGATAGAATTCAATTTTCAATGACTAATTATCAAAATATTCCATGTGATGATAAAAGACATGTTATAAATTATCAATATTATACTATAAGAATTAAAACAAATACAACAAATTTAACACCAAATGATTCAATGAATATATTCATTAAACTCTTTGGTAAATCTCATCAAACAGAACGAATTCAATTAGATCAAACAATTGATAATAAACAAGCATTTCGACGAAATAATTCTATAGATATATTTGAAATACGAACATCAACGAAATTAAATTCACTTCAAAAAATCGAATTTTTTTATGAATTTTCATCAAATAATAGAAAATTTTCTTTAGAATGGATCGAAATAACTAATTTATCGAATGGTATTATTTCTTGTTTTCCAGTTAATCGTATATTAACACAATTAGATATTAACAGAGGAATGCAACAAGTATTGACATTAAATGAATCAAATAATCAACCTTGTTCTTATTGAATCATTTAGTTTTCTTTCTTTTTTTTTCCTGTTAAAATCATTTATTTTTATTTAAATAAGTGAATAAATTATTTTTATTTTACTTCAGTCTGAACTATCAACATCAAATGTCATATGAATAAGATTTGATCGACAAACATCAGCTTGAATAGGAGTCATTCGAGCATAAAATCCATCAGGATTTTCATGAAATGAATCAAATAATTGTTCACCAAGAGCATCTAAAACTTTTTCATAAACAATTGGATATCGTTCAACAAAAATATGAAGCGTTAACGATGCTTGACGTTGACTTTCTGGATAAGCTTCATTACCCATAACACATAATAACAAATGAACAACATTTAAACGTAGAAAACGATAATGTTGATCGACAAGTAAACGAATACATTTACATGCGGCTGCCTGCTGAATATAAACTGGCATTGGACCACCTTTAAGTGAATCAATTAACTCATTAGTTTCATCATCATCATCAGTTCTATCTTGATTTGGTGGATCTTTTAAACAAGCAATTAATTGTTCAGCTAATGCTGATACAATATTATCATCATGCCATTTATTTGACATAAGAATTTGTATAAGTTCAATAGCTTGATATTGAACTTCAGCATGAAAAGATTGAAGAAGATTAACAACTGGTTCAAGTAAACTTCTATGAACTTGTTCTAATTGAGGTTGAAGTTTACATAAGAGAGAAGCAGATAATTCTTGAGCCTTAGGTGATGTTGATAATAAAATAGCAATGAGACCTTTGTAGACTTGTTGTGTATATGTTGGATTTCCATGTGCTAATGAATCAAGTAATAATTGTGCTGATTTTTGTGTATTTTCATTTGTTGTTGTCTTAGCCATACATTCAGCTATAGCTCGAATACCATATGATTGACAAATTAATTCTTTATATATACGACCGTTGTCGGCTATTAATTTCAATAATTCTAACTATATACAATACAACATAAGATTTTCAAAAAGACATAAATTATAGGGTAGTTCATAAGTAGCTTTAAGATAAAAAATTTTCAATATCTCCGTTCTGTTCCACTCTATGGGACAAATTTTCGTTTTCTGTGATAGAGAAAATTTCAGTTTTTTTTTTTTTTTAATAAAAACAACACTTATAAATGTCGCTTTGAAGTATCATCATTGGTTTTAATAATTAATTAAGATGATCCCAACAAATCCATGTATGCATACATTCGTCCTTTAACGAATAATATTCGATTGTGTGTTTCATTATGCCATACGTGTTTATTTTTCATCTCTTGTCGCTCATAAAGATATCTGTCTTTTCTTAAGAACAATGAATTGAAAGCGAAAATTCTTTTTGTTTATCCACGCTGGTGCTCGTTTTTATGGAAAAAAAAATACTGAAGTCTCCTATATTATGAAAAAAAAGTTACTCTCATTGAAGAGTGGAATATAATGGTGATATTCAAATTTTTTATCGTAAAACTACTTATGTATCATATTGTATTTTATAAACACTTACTGCTTGTTGTTTATCTTCATCTATAATTTGATTTACATTGAGTATTTCAAGAAGTGTAAATAAACCACCAACATCGAGAAATTCACCCAGAAATTTATTTCCAGTTGATGATTGTAAAAAAACACGAAGTGCTCGTAATTGTTCATTAAGACATGTTCCGAATAGATAACTTATTCGTAGCCATGAAGCTAGATATATTTTCCAAATAGAAATATAATTATAGACAATGACTGTTAAATAATAACTTACTAATGCGAGTAAAAAATAGACTAGCTGATTGTGCAAATTCACTTTCGAGTTCAGGTTCAGTAATCGTTGAATGTAATTCAATAAAATCAAGTAAAATTTGACGACGAACTTTAATTGAACCTGTATTAAATGTTGGATTATATTAGAAAACCGCATTTTTGAAATATTTTACCTTGATCCCAACGAGAAAGTAGTCGACGAATTTGTGTAAGACTGGCTTCTTGTTTTGCGTTTGGCATCTCGTTCTATATGTTTGTATATTCAAAAATTGACGCGTTCACCATTCCTATGAATAGTTGCTAGGCAAAAGCCTTTACATTGATTTTTTTTTCTTTTCTTTTGATCGTTGTCACTAACAGTCAATCATTTTCAAATCTAAATCATCATATTTTAGAAAAGTTATTAGATATAATTCTTTCTATTCAAACCTATTAAATTTGTAATAAAAAAACTAGAAATTTCTTACATTACTTATACAAATGAGAGACCGACAATTTCAGTTTGTAAAAATGAAAAAACAACGATTTCAATTTCCGTTTCTAAAAATTATTTTTGGAAACAGTTATCTAATGATAGTATACCAGATAACTGATATAATAATTCTTTTCTAGGAAACTCTTAACGAAAGAATCTCTCCAGGTGACGAATCACTTTTCGAACAAGAAGATGTTCATCTGACGAGTGCTAGTGCGTAGTAGAGAAGTTCAGAATGGTTTGGCTTTTTGAACCTTCATTCTTGATGTGTCGAAATTTTACTGATTTTTTTTTAAACAAAAGCTCTGGTCTCCTTCAGATTACATAAAACACCGACTTTTAAGTTTCAGGTTCAAACTCTGTACGAACAAAATTCTCAATTATATTAGTTCTGAAGAAAGTTATAACTTCTCTAGTATCTCCTATTCTGATATATGGAATATTCGAAACTCTTTCATGTATAGAAGTAAATTTTTTTCATATATTTACATTTCCAGAAAGGAAATACTGGATCACATAGAAGTTGTACAATCAACTGATGTCATTGAGAATTTTGGTCATGCAAAGCTTGATGTTAAAATTCGAAAGTCAATTTGCTAGGCAACTTGAGGCGTACCACATGTTCTTGTTGAAAAATACAGTAATATTTCGCTATTTCAAGAACGAAGGACCAGAAAAAGCAAGTCATTCTAGACTTGTCTATTATTTATTAGTGCCTTAATCAACTGTATAATCTTTTTCTTAATAAAGAATTATATTGAGATGAAGCTTTGTGCAAACATTGATACTACCTGGTTGCACACAAAAAAAAATGTCAGCTTTTTATCACGTTCTTGGCGAGATTTAAGGCAATTTTAGTAACCTTATAATACCCTCTTCCGTTCCAGGTCTCATTAACCCAATGGGATTCTATCAGATTCTTGAGCTATCCGATAGTATTTGATACTCGGCATCCCATCGACTACGACTGTCGGAAACCATTAGTATTCTTTAGTGTCCGATGATTTCCTACTGTCGGATTCTGTTGATAGGATCCAACGATATTTGACAGTTGGAATTTATTGTATCCAACCAAGTTCGACAGTAATAAAGTATCTAATTGTGCTTTTTCTGATTATTAGGCAACGTTTGAAATATTGTATAGTTTTTATGACGAAGTGAAGCTGTTTTCGTTTAAAGATAAATGAAATGTATCTAATTCTGAAAAGCAGAAAAAAAGAGTTTTAACAAAGTAGATGAAAATGTGACTATCATAATGTGGCAATATGAACACCACTTTGAACTCGTCCAGGTAGATCGATGTTATTTCATACAAAAGCATGTGCTCATTTTGCTTAAAAATAAATCAAATTTTGAATGCTAATTATTTTCATTTTTATTTTTATTCAGATTTAGCATCCAACTTTAAATTAAGTAATAAGTTAATATAAAATTTAATCATCCTTTCAATATATTTTATTTGGATTTATTATCCGAAATGTAGATTTAGTGATTACTTTATATTATCTAGTTTTTTAGTTCAATTTATGGTTCAACAAGTTAATATGACGGTAAGGTCAGATAAATATTTTTATTAGCTCTATGGTCTTTATGAAGTTTTACTATTCAATATTTGCAAGTAAGAATTAGTACAAATGAAATTGTTTTATTTTATTTTATTTTTTCTATATTCTTTATTTAGATGTTTTATGCAACAATCAAACTTTGTAGTAAGATTATATAAAATACTTTACATTTTTTATTTTTTTGAACTTTAATTTAAACCATCTTAGTTTTAGAATAAGCAGAATATAAAATTATATCACCTTATTTTTTCTATACAGATTGATTAATCAAAGTTTCGAAACGATGCCAAGTCAAATAAAATATGATACTTTTTTCTTTATTTACGTGTATAATTGAGTAAGTGCATATACAGTTTAAATATAAGTTTTTTTTCTAATATTGCTTAGATTAATTCATCAACAGTGATGATATGATCGTAAGTTTAAAAGAATGTAATTATGCTTTTTTACTATTTAGATACATGGAACTGGATGAAATCAAACTGCTTAACATGAACTTTATCTATACTCGATTATTGAATACCAAGACAAGGGAACGGGGAAAATAGGAAAAAAGAAGAGTAGAGTAGTCAAACTCGTACCAAGTGTCCAAATATAAATCCAACAGAATCCTGTCAGATCCTATATGTATCCAACGTTTTCCAGCTGTTGAACTCAACTATCAAAAATCATCGAGATCCAACATCCGACAGGAATCCTCCCAGTCAAATGTAAAAGTGTAAAAAACGCGTGTATTTGCAAGAAAGTTTTTAAAACATGTGTTTACTTGTAAATATTTTTTAATTTGTCTGAGGTCATGCAGGATCTTGCAAGACATTTGAAATGTTTGCAATTTTAGCGTATCAATGCTGATCAACAATACATTCATAGAGGTACATGCCGCAAATACATGCATGAAAATACAACTTTTTAATTTGTGTAGTAAAGTATGCGAGATCATGCATGACTCTGATGTTTGCAGATATCTGCATGTATTGATCTTTCATATTAATGCAAGACATATGATTCGCGTGGGAATACCAAAATATCAGCTGCAGCTACCCGCGATATGATTAGATCACTTCCAAATCGTACATGTCAGTGCAAAATTGTCTTGTTTACGAAAGTGAATAGTGAAGCGATTCTGGGTTGACATGCAAAGTTTTCCTATTTTGTAGTATACATGCTGTCAGTGCAAGACTTTAGTTTTTTCATCAATAAGTAATTATTTATTTCTCATCAAAATAGAATCGCTCTTCTATAATCCTACACAATATTAGCTAAAGAAAAACTTGTTCATTTTTTAAAAACTCTTCAGAGCTGTTAGCATTCATGTACACGCGTGTCCGAAAGTTATCGAACGATCATCATATCTGCCACTTTTCATTGCATTTCTAATGTAAGTAAATGGCCGAATGGTGAAGAAGTTCATCTTATTAAACAAAGTATGTATGTTCGAATCTTATCTTGGGAAAGAAACATCTGCGCCTTCATGCATGTCTGTGATATGTGCTTCGATTTTTGGCCATTCTGATATTGTCTTGCATGTAGACACAAGAGATTTCTACAAAAACACTCGTATATCCCCGCATGTAAAAATATTAAGCGTGTACGTGCGGAAACTTACATGTGTGTAATCGCGATTATAGTTTACCCTGTGATGCGTTCACACGCATGCCATGTCATAACCATTCATGCATGTACATGTAGCAGTAATATTATATCTACACGCATTTTTCAAGCTTTCGCGTTTAACTGGACTATACCAATGAACCCGACAAATTTCGTTAAGATTTTATCGGAAGTTACTGGATTGTCTGAAAAATCCGACGGGATCCAAGTCCGAAATTCTTTGTCCTACAGTATCAGACTCTAAAATCTTAAAATGTTCTATGCACTCATTTTTCTCTACACAATATCTGCCATTCCGATTTCGATCATGCGATCTATGTGAATGTGAATGTGTAAGTGTATGTAACTTCGCGCGATTCAGTTGGTATCAAGGAAGAAAGAACGAACTTAATAGACTTCAAGACCTATGAGTTTCTTCAAAATCTTCAAGTGACTTCCACAGACTATATTAGAACTTACAAGAATTCGTTGAACTTTATAAGACTCCATCAATCATGTGAATCATCACAACATTTCACTAGACTTCGTGAGAATCCAAGAAATTCCATTATACTATATTAGACATAAACGGATTGTATCCGACTTCAATATATATTAAAAACGTTGACTTCACGAATTCAAAAGATACCGTAATTCCTAAGTAGATCTCATTAGAATTCAGGGTAAAGAAGACGACTGCATGAGGCTTCAAGTCAGAAGTCTTCACTGTTTGTCTTCTCAGTCTACATTGAAGTTACTTTTCGCTCACACAATGAACGAAGATTGTACTGATCTTGAGGTTCAATCAGATTTATTTCAAAGATATTTAAAAAGTGCGCACAAATTGAACTGAGACATATCTAATACATCATCTCAAATGGGCTAAAAGGAATAAAAAATCACACGTCAGAAACAGAGAAAGATATAATGCTTTAATGTAGAGAAATACAAAGAAAGTGGAATACAGACACGATTTCTAATAACAGCGTTAGCGTACACTGTAATGTCAATTTAAATTCGTCAGAGAAGGTTTCAATGGATGAATGTTGTCTATGCCATTTTGTTAAAGATATAAGAAGCGATGTTTTGTCCCATTTTTTTACCTTCTTCTTGATCAATAGACCAATGAACACCCAAATAGATTCTACTGTGATAATTTTCATCTTCAGCTTGTGAAAAAGAATTGTACTGTCGAGTACGTGCTGGTCGCACTAGACCAGTGATTGAATCTTTCGTGATTCCGTTGTATTCGTCAGATTGAAACTGAAACCGAATTTGATCAGTTTTGTAAAAGAGTCTAAGCATTTCGAAAGTTGCAGAGCCAAATGTTGAATGTCCAGAAACATAACTTGGGAATGGTGGGGTAAAGTTTTCACCTGCTCCATCTGCTGGTGCTCCGAGCGGTAACCAGTTCGGAATGGCGGCTGTCCTCCCTGTACCTTGCCTGATACCGTAAATAGGTCTCCATAATCCATAATAATATTTGCTTTCCCATGCAGAAATGCCAGCATCAGCCATGGCATAGTTCACTAATGCAAATAGACGAGCATTGTCTCGTAGTTTGTTATTTCTTTGTTGAGCAATGACACGAACTATTTGATTGTAGAGTCTAAGTGGCACACCTATTTTGGGTGCACCATCATAACCCCAAAATATGGCAATCTCAGTTTGATCTGTTGTTCGAACTTGACTTGTACGAGATCCTAATGAAACCACTTCATCGTAGTCATTGATATACTTTTGTGAATCGAGATATTGACGACGCGCAGTCACATTCGTGCCAACAATGTTTGAAGCACGAAACTGTGATCCAGATTTGATAACAAAAGGTTTGACATTGCCCCACTGAGGACTAAGAAATCCTTGGTTTGGATGAGTTGGATCTCGCTCGTGATATCCAAGGTCCATGACTGGCGTGTAGCTAGCATTACTTTGACTGTTGTCAAAGCTTCTGTCTGTTAAAATGACGGAGGCGAACAGTCTTCCCACATGAATGCCTCTGGCAATCCCAGCTTTACCTGGAGTATCATTATTAATGGTCGTTATGAAGCCTTTCCGAGTTTCATCAAATAATTCTCTTTGCTTTGGATACATGGCGTACAGAGATTGATAAGCAGCTTCAGCAATAGCTGCATCGATAGCAGCAGCGCGTGGAACATTATTTGTTGCAGGCATATTATTGGGCTTGAACATCGGTTGATAGGTCTGCTCAAATGCATTCAAAGCTTCATACATTGCTCCATGAATGATAGCAAAAGCACGTGACGTTGTTGTTGGACCGATTTGATCAGGAGTTGAAGCAATAGATGTATCATAATCATTGGCACAAGCTTGCAGTGTCACAGAATTCCAAAAGAGAATAGCGTCCATCGATGTATTCTCTAATTGATCAAGCAAAGCTTTAGCTTGATTTTCTAGTTCGCTTCTACTACGAACAAAGACTACATTCGTAATGAAACAAAGTAGAACAATAATTAAATTCTTGTGAAATAGATAGCCCATGTTATGTTCTTCAAAATACTACTGATGATGCACAACTAATCATTCACTATTTATACACAAATAGCAGACAGGTGAAATAGGAACTAGACTATCGAAGTTATATCCCATACAAGTAATAATTGTCATACCTCTTCGCTTGACGTCTACTACCGACTTTTACTGAATACATTAAGCAATATGAATAAGAGTCCACAAAAACATAAGTGTGCTAGAAGCGTGATATTCATTTTGATTTAATTATTTATCACTTTTTCTCGTACCTCCGTTTTTACGTTCTTTCTCTTGTCGTGTTCTTTGCTCATTTTCCTCGTGCACATAGTCATGTTTATTATCTGTAATAGATGAAGATTAGTTGATGTAGTTTACGTTTATACCAACGATGGTGACGATGATTCTCCTCCAATTCATCGTCGTTGTATTAAAATGAAGCAGATATTGTTTCAGGGAGAATGAGAGAGATATTTGGATTTCGTTAGCATAGACAATTTTTTAAAATGGTTCAGTTCATATAGCATTCAATCAATACTTTTTCAAGATATGGTCTTAACGAATGTTGTTCAAAACGAAACTCTTTCTTTGACTGCATTCAATGTTGTACGAAATGAAAATAATTTTTGCATTGACTGAAATTAATCGTGTATTTTTTCAGTTGTTTATTTTCGTTCCGAAAACCGTTGTACGTCTAGTCTTATTCTCAAACAATCATATATTACTCTTTCGACTGGTTTACATAACGGAACGACGATCTAAAATTATGCAGCTGCGTAAATAAGCTTTTAATGAAATTTATCGAATTTTATATTTCACTTTCGAGGATCTTGAATTTTCTCCTAACAGGAGACTGCTAGTAAGAGTCATGTTGTAATTTCGTCAAAATCACTGAGACAACTTTGATTGACGATCGATTCATGTGAACTTAACATTTTACTTGAATGTTTTTTGTTTGATTACCACTTAATACTTATTCTAAATCGCATAGTCATTTTCTCAAGTAAATTCTCTCCAGTGGGATTTGTCTATGACTTCTTCCGAGACAATCAATTATTTCACTCGAATGAGAATGAACGAAAGTCAAAAAATATCAGTTCAACAAGTATTCAATTGAAGAGTTTATTAGAATAAGTGATTAATGCTGAATAAAAGCAGACAAGATAAAGAGGAGGTGATCAGTCTTCGCGCAATTGAAAGTTGTTTTTTGTTATTACTCAGAAGAGAATAGAACGCACGAATTGTATCTCACGTCATCTTAAAAATGCAGTTCTCATCGACGATGTTCAATTTTCAAGACAGCTTTCATTCGATCTTCAACTTTTGTTTCAACAACATCAACAAGTCTCTATTTTGAAAATATCGTGTTTTACTTGTTACAAAGATAAGTTATTTCACTGATTAAATCATCCTTCCGAAAGCATCACCATTTCTATTCGATGATTGAACCTCAAAAAAAAACATCATTCATCCAAATCTGATGCTAAAGATAAAATTTATCATTGCACGTAAGAAACAATGCTATAACATGTCAATCAGAGATAAATGATCATTTTCTATTTTGAATTAGTGGTAGACATTTACAAGAGGGCAGGTATTTCCTTTCACGTAGACATGTTGGAAGTTCCCCACATCCACTATGAACCTATTTGGCTTCATACAAGAAAATCATGATATAGTGTAGTTATCTTTTATTTACTACTGATACATCTATGTATGATTTTGTCTCTTTGCATCGTTGTGCTCTGTCGAAAAAATAACATATTCTCAGCGTAGTCTCTAAAGGTAATTTATCTATGTTTTGATCGAACGCATCCAAGCAGAAAAAAATCGTTGATGAGAAAATCAAAAAGCATTTTTCCTAGTTTATTGAAGGTATATCGAATAAAGCCTATTAAAAAAGTCTCATTTTGTGGCTACGAAATAAATCAGTTTTTAACAGGAAATTGCTACTTTCAAGTATAGAGAAAGAAAATGCAACTAAAAGTAAAACATATGTGAACTTTATTTATTTAATAAATCATAATATTTCTACTCTAATTGACATTACCTATCATCATGACACATATAGGAGGCGTGTTTAATTTTTTTTCCTACTTGATGATTTACTTAGGTCTGACCGAAAGTTCTGATATCTTGAAATAAAAATATAAAGATAAGGAGATATTTTTAATTTTATTTTATCAAATATTGAGGATAGTTGCCATGATTATTTATATTAAGTTCAGTTCTTTCTAACAATTTATTAAAGGTTTTTTGAACTTTTTTTCGAAAAAAAGTTTAGTTACCTTGGATACCGCATGAGTACATAATATTTCATTTATTTAATTAAATAAAATCCCTTCGATAGAGCTACATAATCAAAGATTAAGTAGTATTAGGTACGTCGAATATGACTGCTGCGGCATTATATTGATGCCTTCTTCTGTCAAATAATTAATAACATCGGATGAGTATGAAGTCAACGATGATCCTCAAGCAGTTTTATACATTTTGCATTTTATACTTCTTTTTGTTTTCATATTACATTTACAAAATGCTTCTGACAATTTTCAATATAATATTTATTACCTACTGTCATGCCTTTATCTACACTCACGGCTATTTGATTTAAAGTATATGTCAAACAAAGTTTGTGTTCAAATCTATCTTCATGAACAATAGTCATTGACGATTCATCCTCAATAAGCCAGCTAGAATCAGGTGACTTATGATTAACCTATATAAAATAAATCTATACTTCGTCACTAATACTAGTAGAACGTAAGTGACAACATCTAACAAAACTTCGCTAAAATTTTAAAACAAATGAAGCATGATTAGCTCATGCGGTATCCAAGGTCGCTAAAATTTTTTTCGAAAAAGGGTTCAAAAAAACTTTTCATAAGTTGTTAGAAAGAATTGAACTTGATATAAATAATCACGACAACTATCCTCAACATTTCATAAAATAAAATTAATAATATCTCCTTATCTTTATATTTTTATTTAAAGATCTCAGAACTTTTGGTCAGACCTAAGTATATTAATTGATGATGCATGTTTAATGTTCGAATGTAAACATTTTCATTGAAATGAAAAAAATATAAACGATGAATGAAATAAATAATGAAAATATTTTAAACAATAACATGAAACCATAAGTCGGTGCTATTATTATCATAAAATTGAAAATATGATGTTCGGATGAAATCTTGTTTTATAAGTATACAGAAAGAAAATGCACCTAAAAATAAAATATATATTAATATTTCTTATTTAATAGAATAGGACGTCCTAACTCTGTCAGGAAAAAATATTTTAGCATTTCACTTACAACTCGAGCTGCTATATGCATCATAGCGAAGTAATTTTTCCTTTTCAGAAACGAGCAAATATTTCTCTGTTGAGTGATAGGAAATTACCTATGCAAATATGATTTAATCATTCAGAAGAATCATGCAAATAGAGATGGAATCGAATTAGATTGAATTTTATTGTTTTAATAATTATGCCACCCTATAGGTTTTTTTTCTACTTCTATTGTTAGATAGGAAGTTCTGTATTTCTATGGGAAAAGCCCAATTTCAGTATGAAAACGATCGAATCTGAAGATTAAAAATATATCATTTGATTCATCTCGACATTGACATTAGCTGACATATTTTTCAAAAAAACTAAAACTCATCTTAAATGTTCTTTACCTACCAAAAAAAGTGTACGGCAGAATTTCTTTTGTTCCTCATTGTGCCGCTTCATATAGTTTGCGTTCTGAATTGTGCCGAGGCCATATAAAAAATACAGAGCTACGATAGTGCAAATTATAGGCATTACTTCAACTTAAACAGATCACTATCATTCTAATACTATTTGTAAGCTCTACTCAAAAGCTACATGCTAATATGAAATAACCATCAACAAACCTAGTTGTAATTAATTTTTATATATAGACTTTTCAAAGACTTTTACTAAGTTAACTGTCATATTTTTTCGAAATGAAAATGAATAAATGTAGGTTTTTTAAAGAAAAATATCTGATTTTAAAATCTTAAATAAGAAATTCTTAGAGTAGTAAAATTAAGTACAGAATACAAATAAAATGTTTAAACGATACAGTTATAAAGTAATTGAATTTTGATCCTGAATCCTAAGTTGAATTTCTATAATAGCCAAGCTCAGCTGACATCAAACGTTGGATTCATAATCCATAATATCATTATTTTTTTCTATCACTGTCAATAGTAATAGCATTTGTTTTTTTTCTATTTGTTGAACATCAGAATAGTTTGTTTAAGTTTTCTTTCTTGGACTGATATTTTTTTAGTTTTTTTTTCATACTTTTTCTTGAATCATTTTAAGAACATCTTCATCAATGACCTTGACACCAGTAGTATTGTTCAATCTTGATGCTCTAGAAGTTGTTCTTGCTACAGTTATAGTATGATGTTGTTGGTACTCATTCAATAGATCTATTAGAACTTCACATGTAACATCAATGAATTGAACAGCAGGCTTTTTTTGTTTTTGTTCGTTTGGTTCTGAAAAATGTGTAAATATTTTTGATAGATAACCGTTTTGAGCTACCTTTCATCAATATGGATAAGGAGTTATCAATCGCTTTTGATGTTGTTCAGCTGATGATGAAATTTCATGATCATTGATAAATATGGCGTAAATTGATTTGATGTGCTAAATGTGAAATGAAAATTTTCTATTCATTTTAGTTGTATTATCGATGATCATCAAATCGAAATTCAATGTTGAATCGATTAGTTGATTGAATACCTGATACAATCATTGATTCCAGTGAGGATAGCACGCTAGGTAATGAGTGAACAAGTGAAGAAGTTAAGTATAGAATAATAAGATTTGTTGGTAATATTGTTGATTTCTTAATCATC